ATTATTATTAAAAACAACCCAAGGCGGTTTACATCATTACGACTGCTTTAAAAAGATCAAAAACAGTTTCATACCATGTAATTACAAAGCATGTGTATATCTGAATCACAAGCAGTCTGAAAGTTACCAATTCAGAAGCCTAAAGAAAAAACAAACTCATAGGTTGCAGGTAGAGATGGGGGTATTCATATACGAATATCCCCACACAGCTGAACTTAATGAGGGCCTGGCCCCAGGGGCCAAACCTTTAAAAAGATCAAAAACAGTTTCATACCATGTAATTACAAAGCATGTGTATATCTGAATCACAAGCAGTCTGAAAGTTACCAATTCAGAAGCCTAAAGAAAAAACAAACTCATAGGTTGCAGGTAGAGATGGGGGTATTCATATACGAATATCCCCACACAGCTGAACTTAATGAGGGCCTGGCCCCAGGGGCCAAACTATCGACTCACGCATCCTGCTGTGGCACTGGTTCCGCTAATCCTTCCAATCACGCCCAGAGCGCTGCTCTCTTCATGCTCAGCTGGCCACTACAGTCAGGGGGCGTGAGGATGAGTTTCCTTGAACAGCTGCTGAGTGGCCAGCCGAGCAGGAAGAGAGCAGCGCTCTGGGCTTGACTGGAAGGATTAGTGGGACCAGTGCCACAGCAGTGGACAGTCCAGCCCTGGAGGCCAGACCCTCATTAGGTCCAGCTGCACAGGGATACTCATATTCACATACAAATACCCCATCTCTAGTTGCAGGTTGTTCATTCCTTCCTGTTTGTTGTGACTGAAATCACAGTGATGCTACCACTACTGCCAAAATCTGGCTGTGCAAAAAACAAGCAAAAAAACAAAACAAAACAAACTTCTTTTGTATATTTTTCAGTGTTCTCTTCAACTGCAGAATGAAACAACACAATGTGGGGCCACCTCCGTTGCTATTTAGTAATACAGAAGGTGGTTCTAGCATGCTCCTGCATCTCAGAAAGCCACAGCTGCCAGTGTTTACAGTGGTAAGATGGTGATCCAGTGCAGCCCCACTTCACCAATGGGGAATGGCTCACTCTTTATTGTAGCTAAACTTTGTCTTCTACTAAATGACAATGCTTCAATAACTGTTACATTTTTTGAAAAAATATGAACTCATTTCTTGCACTAGGATAACTCATTCCTGTGTTAACTTCTCTGCTTAGTGTTTAGCATTTGACCTCCTACGGAAAACTTCTGTATGTTCGTTTTTTAATAAGATAATGCTTGATCAAATATTTGTCTTCCATACACAATGGATTAGAAACCTTTGTTTTACATGAATTTTTAAAAGCCTATATATTGAAAGTAATTTCTTAGACAATTGAGCCGCCTAGAGTGGTCGAAATGACTAGATAGGCGGGGTATAAATACAATAAATAAATAAAATAAATACATCCCCTGCAGTGAAACCAGATACCAACTGCTTTGACATCTCTGGAGTCTCCAACTTGGAACTCTAATTACAGATTCTGCAGACTCAACGCCTTGCCAGTGATTTCTGGATTTCGGTTACCGCTTCTAAAACTGGATTTTTCTGTTTCTCTGCCCACCTCAAACTTTGTAGCAGTCAGCTTGATGAAAAACCCGGCAGGACTCAACTACTGTACCTGTATTTTATGACTAGTGGTCCAATAAAGGCATCACCCAACTCATGCCTTACATTCTGAACCTGAAAGACACAGCTGTGTTGCTTTTATTTAACCTCCTACCTGTAAGCTATAGTTTGCAATATAAGATTAGTATAGCTAAATGTTTTATTGCATGTGTGTGTGTGTGTGTGTGTGTGTGTGTGTGTGTGTACACATATATAATACACAAAATATAAATAGCATCTATATGTTCCATATTGCTAAGTGTTGTTAAGCCAGAACTGACTTAACATCAACCCTAATAGGGCTTTCCAGGTAAGTGAGATATTTAAGGAGTGGCTTTAGCAGTTCTGCTCCCTAAGTGAGTTTCCATGGCTGAGTGGGGATTTGAACCCATGCCTCCTGAGTCCTATTCCTCCACCCTATTTACTACATGTCACTGGGCATCACATGTCCCATAGTCTTTCTATTTGTGGCTCAGACTCAGTATAAGTGAGGTTCCTTATGTTCCTCACACTGTCTGAAACCCTGTTGCTTAGCATAGCAAGCTATAACTAGAGTAGGCTGGAAGGAAGTCAAGGAGACATTCTGGACTGGGTCAACCCCCATCCTCCTTACTCCATGGTGGGAAGAAAGATTGTGATGGCCCCACTACTGAAGTGAGGTAGCCCCAGAAAAGGAAGATGAGCCTGGCTGGACAGAATCAAGGGTCAGAACCCCAGGACCTTGTCAGGTGCCTTATCCCCAGGTATGCCAGAGATGAGGGCTGGGCCAAGCAACTGACTTGGGAGACAAAGAGCTGGGAGGGGAGAAAAAGACAGGCAAGAGCCCACAGCTATAAAGGGAACTGAAGCAAGTGAGCCAGAGGGCCGAACTCCAAGGAAGTGGCACCTGTGGAGGAAGAATTGGATCTGGAGGCTTAAACAACTGAGGGACCCTTTCCTGGCTGAGAGATCCACCATAACCGCTAAGGACTAGGACATTACAGACTCTGTCAAAGAGAATAAAAGGAATCTCTCCAATGTACCTGGAGGGAGTGGAAACCACTGGGAAGCACAAGAAGGTTGTGTGTGTGACAGAAAAAACAGCAAATAAACATGTGTTGGATTCACTGATGCCAAGTGAGTCATCTGCACATTTTTGCTTCGAGGGTCCCTTGACATTTACCTACCCATGGGAGATTTGAGAACACATACATAGGCTGATTTAATAGATTTACAGAGGAATTAGCTCACCAAATCCCCAGATTCAATAAGCCTACTCTAGTTGCAACTTACTACAATAAGCAACAGGATTTCAGCTATTGTGTTTCTTGAATGTTAACAGGAAACCATACTTATTTACTTGCTAAACAGAAAGGTTCAGGCATGCTCCACAAAATAAAGAAAAAAATCATCATTTTGTGCTCTTAAAGATTCCTAGTGTGGTGCAATGGATAAAAGTGACAGAACAGGACTCTGGAGAGCAGGGTTTAAATCCCCACTTGGCCATGGAGATTCACTGGGGAAGTAGAAGTGGTAAAATCACTCCTTAAATATCTCACCTTAAAAACTCTGTTATGGTCACTATGACAGCACAGAACACACATGCACAAATTTAAGACCAGTCAATAGTTTGCATTAAATTTATAGAGATCCAAGTTCAAAATTCACCTCAGTTACAAATTCACTGTAAAGAATTAGGTAAATGAGACTCAATTATCCAGATGTGAAATACGGCATCAAAATTCTTGAGTACTGTACAACTATTACTTATGCTATGAACTACTGGACTGAAAATGTAGTCCTTCACCATACCTTCATTTTGGCTCCCTCTTTCCTAACCTTTACCAAGTTACTGACATTGCCCCAAATGGGACAGCAGAAGAGTTTCCAGACATGAAAGAATATATGTATCAGATGCTAACATCATCCTTTCTATACCACCTTTGATAAAAACAAATTTCTGTGGAACCTGAAAGATGAACAGGCTTATTCTAGGAAATGCTTGAGGGAAAAGGAGTTGTTTCAGCTGGCAGCTGCAAACTGTCTCGTGATTCGCACTAATGACATTCACTGACCCTGATGCTGCTCCCTGCTTCATCAAGTGTTTCCCTTTTGATGAAGCAGCTGACTTACAGAACCACCACCTCCTCGATCCACACCAACAGCACTGAGAGGCCTTTTGTAGTGATTGTAGGGAACCAAACCTACTATCACTACAAAGACCTCCAATACTGACTGCATCTAAAGATAGAAGAAACCAATGAGTCCTTTAAAGTCAGATGTTCAACTCGTAAGCTTTTAAATGCCTTTCAAATATATATAACACATTGTTTTGAAGTGGTATAATTACCTTTGCTTCTGGGTTAGCTGCCAATATTTTGGCACCGCACTCTACTGAAGCATAATTATTCCTATTTTTCTGGACCTTTTTTGTGAGATGCTGACCTCCATTGGAGGATGGATGCATTGACTGACCTGCATACAAGTGAAAGCATACCAGAGAATTATCAGGAAATATTTAAGTCAGTATAACACCTTCAAGATTCTAGTTAAAGTAATTTGTAAAGAATTAGAATTGCAGAATTTGAATGGATCACTGGAGTCATCTAGTTCATCCTACACTGAAACAGGAAATTTACAACTAAAGCATTCGCTTGATGGCCGTCCAACTTTCAATATAGGGGAGTCCACAAACTTCTGAGGTTGTCTGTTTGTCAAATAGCTCTTGGTATCTGAAAGTTCTAAAGCTTGGTCAAAGTCTCTGTGATTATCATTTATATCCACTAGTTCAGATCCTACCTTCTGGAGAATCAGAAAACAAGATTCATTCATTTTCCTTCTGATTTAGCCCTTCCAATATATGAAGATGGCTATATACAGTATTTTTCGCTCCATAACACGCACCCGATCATAAGACGCACCTAATTAAAATAAATAAATAAATTACAAATTCCGCCCTCGCCAGCTCATCATCCGGAAGCACTCCCTGCCCTGGAACGGGAGGAGAAAGGTGGCATGGTGGCGATGGCGGCGGCGGGAAGTCAAAGAAGATTTTTCTCAATCGGTCAGGTGTAAAATCCTGTTTTCCTTCCATGTTCAGTTGGGCTTGGGTTGGGGTCAGGAGGGTAAAAAAAGACTGGGGAGGGATATGGAGCAAAAAATACGGTACTTGTTTTCTTTAGAATAAATTAGAATTTAAAAAAATTAAAACTCTGCCCCAGCCAGCTCATCATCCGAAAGGGGAGAAGAAGGGCGGCATGGCGGTGGTGGGAAGATTTGTCTCGATCGGCCGGGTATAAAATCTGGTTATACTTTCATAGAGACATTAAAATATATGCCAGGTTTAACAGAAAAAGTAAAAAGCAGCATGGGCTCGGGGGGGGGGTTGTAATTGCACCATTTTTACAGTATTCACTCCATAAGATGCACACACTTCCCCACACACATACACTTTTTTTTGGGGGGGAGTGTGTCTTATGGAGCAAAAAATATAGTTTATTACATCTCAGCTTTCTTTTCTCCAGAATAAACCTACTCATCTCCTTCACCATTCTTCACATGGCTTGGTTTCAAGATATTTTATAATACTGGCTGTCTTCCTCTGGACATGCTCCAGCTTGTCTATACCTGAGTTCTGACCAATGCAGAACAGAACGGTACTATCATTTCTGTTGGTCTGGCCAATAACGCTATTCAGCCATTTGAAAAAGGATAATTAGAAAGTTTATCAAGGAGAGAGTTCTACTCCCGCTACCACATTCTTGTCATAGTTTCATTGTGAAAGATAGTCCAAAAACTGGACAGTCTGCTATCTGCAAACCTTTCCATGCCATTGGGAACACTAATTTTTCAGGATCCCCAAATGCATGGAAAGTCTCCACATGTAGTAAAAGCCATCCTTTTCAGATAGTTCTCTCCATGGAAATAGCAACAAAGAGGAATGGGAATTCGCTCCCTGTTTACACTTTTAATCACCCTAATGGTACTATATTTTTGCTAATCCATCCTAGTACTATGTTAGCCTTTGCCACTGCATTACACTGTTAATTCATGTTTTGCTTGTGGTCTACCAGGAATCCTGGATGCTTTCTACATGTAGTATTGTCAATCAAGGAGTTGCATATACTATATTTCTGCATCAGATTTTTGCCACCTAAATGTAGAACTTCACATTTTCCCTGCTATAACTCATTCTGTTTGTTTTGGCACAAATTTTAACAACATACTGAATCCTGTTTCTGTCTTCTGTGATATTAGTTATCCCCATCCAGTTTTGTGTCATCTGCAGTCTAAATCAAGCTGAGAGTAGTAGCTAATAGTGAGAGAAACCATTAACATTTATTGGAAGTATCTCTGAATGCATCTTACTCTACTCTCTAGGAATAAAATCCTTTTCACTTTAATATCTTAAAATTAAATAGCATATTCTTTCTAGTCACAGAAAGATGTTATCACATACAAAGGTTTAATGAAATCAGCCTTGCTGTTTAAAGGAATTGCCTTGAAGGATAAATGGGACATACAAAAAAACTAAATATCCTAACCAAATTAAAACTGCACTGGGATAGTCCCTAAAGTTCAGTGTAGTGTAACAATCTTAAGGTGCCTAGCAAACACATTTTACTTAACAGTTTTAAACAATTATCAGTTTTAATCTTTGTGCAAATCTCTTTTTTTACAGATTTTATCTGATGCTCTTATTTATTACTGTGCTTTAAAAACTGATAGGATAAAGATGGTATACAAATGTATCTTAAAGGAAAAAGTATTATTAATTTCTTGCTTATAAACGAGGACATTACGATGAGGTGGCACTGAATTTATTTAGAGTCTGACATGTTCTCTTTACCATCACATGCCAGAGATCATCATGCCAGAATTGTATTTTACTCTCCGAGCTGTACTTCTATTGCTTCCTTTTGCTGCATGTAAGCCAGGGAAGTACAATCGAAAAGGGACCAAAATCAAAGGTCCAATTCCAATACAGCACTAGCTAACATGACTATACTGTCAGGTCTTCTTGCAGAAACAACTTCATAGGCAGAATGATCCCATTTAGTTAAACTTTTCTTCTAACTCTAATTTTTAACAGAATGGTGTAACAGACAAATTATTTAATAGGTGAATTATTTATTATATGTGTCGGGGCAGAGAATGGGCAATTGTTCCAGAGGCCACATCAGATTACATGACATAGAAGGTTTTTAATTAAAATAATATCAACTA